TTGGAGACCAGGCCCCGGGATCATGAAGCATCTTAAGCTTAAGTCAAAAAATTCCTTAGATGCTGAGAATGCCCAAAATGAAAATGCTTTCCGATTTTGTATCATCAGTCTGCTATTGTATGCAAATTATGAGTTTCCTTTAACAAGTGTTAAAGATTTTATAGAAATTTGAAATTTTGACTTAATACATGATGTAGGCCAAATTTGCTCAAAAAAATTTTCCTATTTTTGAAAAGCCAAATTTGTCAAAAAATTTTTCCTTGAAAAGAAGAAAACACTTCCTGTTGTAAACACTTCCTGTTGTCTTTAACTCAACAATTAGTTATACCGACGACGTATTGTCAATAAAATTGGTAATTTCCATTCTTATGTCGATACGATATATCCACGTGAGCTTGATAAAAGATGCTACAGAGTCTGAGACATCTGTTTCACATTTGGATATTTTACTTGAAAAAGACGTTAATGGTAATCTAACAACCAGCTTTTTGATAAACGGGATGACTTTAACTTTTCAATCTTCAACTTCCCTTACTTATGCAGCAATATACCTTCATCAATGGCATACGGGGTTGATATATCTTAGTTGATTTGATATGCAAGAGCATGCTCTACGTATTGAACAATTTCTAAATCTAAAACGTGTTAAATTATTGACAAACATGTTGATGAAACAAAAATACCAGTAGTCTCGTTTAAAGTCATCATTTCGTAAGTTCTATGGTCGATACTATGACCTTGTCAGCAAAAACAATCTATCCTTGAGTGGTTGTATGTTGTTTAATGTCCATCTCGAGAATTTTTCACTCGTATGGTGACCTGTGGAGAGCTGCAAATTTTGTCCTACACTCAGCATTCACCGCCATTGAGCAGGGAGGGATCACCTATTGCGACACGGGACCTCGGTTTATACGGTCTCATCCGAAGGACCGGTCTCAAGTCACACAGTGGGATTCGAACCTGCGACGTAAGGATCAACTCCTTCCTTCACGACTCTAGAGTTGACGCTCGATAACCACTGCGCCACGCGGGCGACAATTTATCATTGAGTCAAATGCTGTCTGGCGTTTTTCATACTAATTGTTAGTCTTACGTTAACAAAATGTTAAAATTAATAATCAAAAATGTCATGATGACTTCATTTTTTTTTCTATCGCCAACGTTCCTAACTTGAATGCATGTTTAGCAAAAAATAAAAACACATATCACCCACATATGGGGTTAATGTTTCCCAGTTGATTCGATACAATAGTCTAAGAGCATTTTTTTCTTATTAACAATTCCTAAATCGAGGTAAGCTGTTGACAAAAAAGTCGAATATACAAGAATATCAAGTTTGTTTAAAGTCATCATAACAAGTTCTATGACTGTTATAATGACCTTGCCACCAAGTGTATTCTATCATTTCGTCGAATGCTGACAAACGCTTTCCAGACGAATTATTAGACCATTTTTTACATATTGATTGTCCGTTTGTATCATTACGAAAAATAGCACACTGTGGGTGTGACTGACAGAATACGCTTTCTCCTTCATAAGACCTGATACAACCTCTGATGTTTTGGAGGTCCGTGTTTGCTCTGCATGTTCTGTTAAGAAAATAAATCACGAAATTTATTTTACTTTGTAATCTTCATCGTACAATTAAAAGCGATTATCGAATTTTCGCAAGCAGTCGGTAGTATGCAATAATGAAAAAAAGGGATTGTAGTAAAAAGAACTAGAGGTATTGTGAGCAATGAGCTCATTAAATGATAACCCCCAACTCCCATATGTTTATAATGGCAAAGTCCATGTTTTGCTGTGGCTGGGAAACCCAAAATATGTGTCAGATCAAAAAGTGAAATAGGAGGTCACAATGGCAATATGAAATAAAGATTCTGTGAAAGTTTCATTAATTTCACTCAGTGGTATAAGGGGAGTTGCGGATAAGATATGGGTACCCCAAAGCGTGACAGACAAACAGACGGACGGACGTACAGCTGGACAGACGTACAGACGGACGGACATACCGATTACTACATTGTATATACCCTCCTGCTTTTCAAGCGGGGGGTATAATGATCGAGTCTTGTGGTTACATTGTATACAGATTCAAGAATTTTGAGTGAATCGTCAATAGTTATAATTATCGAAGACCGGTTATATGTTTAAGTTTATGCTTAGTCTATTTGTCTGTTTCTTTGTTTGTCCGCAGCAATTTTGACATTGCTTATAAATATAGATTGGGGCTGGGGCTTTCATCGTATTTCACTTGTGTATTACGTATGCCAATATCTTTCTTTTAGAACATATTTGATCTCGTCACCTTGGACTTTGACCCACTTTTGTAAAATTTTACTAAACTTTAACCTTGGCAAAACTTTCTGAATGGTTGTGGCTAGGGTTTTCATACTTCAAGGTGTATTACTTGTGATAAGTATTTTCTTTCGTTATAGGTACTTTCGACCTTTTGAACATGATACTGGACTTTGGCCAATTATTGAAAACTTTCACCTCGGTCATAAGTTTTGAATGGTTGCCCTTTTGAACATGACATGGAGTTAAGCCCACATTTGAAAAACTTTAACCTTGGCCATACGAGCGCTTTCATATTAAACATGTATTTTTCTTATGACTTTCATTGTGAAGCGAAACTTTTGCCCTTTGACCTTATCCTTAAAGTTTGATCTTTTTTCATATACTTTTCAAATACTTGGTCAAAATTTAACTTATGAATGATCAGTGCTAAGTCTCTCTTATATTCAAGGCACAGTTTTCGTAAAAAAAAAAAAATGGAGGCAAACAAAAACATTTAAAATCTTTCTAGATTTTAAAAGATTGTCATTTGTATTAATTTTTTTAAACAAAACTATATGTAACGTGTAGAATTAAAACTAACAAATAACAGATTTAATTATTTCATCTTTGTATGACATTAAAGCTAAAAAAGAAAATTAGAGTCCAGTCATGAACCGCAGATATTAGCCAATAATGTTCCCAGAACATTGCTGCAAGGTCATACTTAAATTACGAATAAAAGCTTACGGGTCATCAAAAGTCCTAATCAATAGAGCCCAAATGTTTAATTCAAAATTAACATAAACAACAGCTTTTCATGAAAGAAACTGACTGTGTATTGAAATGATGTCAAATAGATTGAATTGGATAGATGTAGAATACATCTCTGACAACTTCTTTTGGCTTAAACAGTTTATATATTGAGTGGATTTATTTTTATGTCCCTTTGTGTGCCTTCCTTTTTTCGGAAACTCTTTTTGTAAATCGTAAACATCGTATTGATACTATTTATTCACGGACTCTTATGCTTTCTACCGCCTGTAGGTAGGTATGTACCCTTAAAATTACTTGATATTGATTTTAATTTTTTTCTATTCCTTTCGACTATTCAATATTTATTTTTCGGGTTTAAAGCATTTGATAAATCATGTGGTTTGCTCTCCACATTTACCACGATTTTCAGTAATGTGTTGACCTTTAAAAAGGCCACGTTCTGTCCGTTTGATATAAGTATTATAATAATATTCATATTACTGTGCAATTTGTACATACAGGTGAAGCAGTCAGCATCCGAAATGTAAAAGTCCTACACTGTAACACAACTGCATTGCAAATCTATGTATAAAAGTTAGGGGGGATGAACATTTAAAATTTAAGTAAAAATTAAATTTGGGGAGGGGCTTAAATAGGCTAAACATGCTGTTAGACCTATTCACTTCTAGAGCAGTGTATAAAGTTTTGTTTGTAGTAAAATTTTAGCTTCCGTTATTTTATCTGGGAATATCAATTTTAAAGCCCAGCATCCGGTTAATCATTAATGATAATTATAATACATTCCAAGATGTACCACATGTGTGAGTCTTATTAGCTTATTGTTGTATTTACCATAATAATACTGAAATAATAAAATCCCAAATTTACATACATGTATTCCAATTAATTGTTGCATTTGAATTAAGCAAAATATCAATCCTGGATGAAATCAACCAGGCAAGATACATGTAGGAGAGTGAAAGATATGATTGCTTTGAAATGAACAAGTTGTAACAGACTAGCTTGAATTTAGCCCCTCTTCAAAGAATTATAAGTAAAGGTCACATAGAAAGATACAACTATGCAGGATTTACAATAACTGTCATTTAGGTATGTACCTTCATGCATACTCATTGAAAGACATTTATTTGGCACTTGATTACTGATGCCATATTTTTAACCCATTGTCATAAAAATAGGAAAAAAGTATAGAGTTTATGAAATGTTGGTCAAAGGAGTATATCTTTACTTAATAACCTTGTTTGTTAAAAAGATTTATTTTCTCATAAATATATACAGTAAGGATAAAAAGTGAATATTCAAATGTTGTAGTTCATATGATAATGTATATTTTATTACACATGTACATGTACATGATATGCCTTTCAGTACGAAATACGAGTACTTCAACAATAATTTGAACAATAATTTAATTCTCTCAAAGTAGAGAGTGCGCGAGTGGAATTGTGGGAAGGGGACCAGACTACAATAATGTGGAAAATGTTTTAAAATTTAAATTCTTCTTGAAACACCTATGAACAAAAATAAAATCTACAAGTACGTTACATGTCAACTGATTTTCAAAAGAGATTATTCTATCAGTTTATGATGACGTACGGGATAGGAATAAACATCACCAGGGTGCTGGCATTACACATGTAATATACACTTTTTAAAAATTCGGTTCATTCCCTAGTATACCCGTAGGTAACGTGACGCTAGGCAATCGTTATTTCTCGGTTAGTGCATAAAACGTTTGTACTTTCTCTCTCTCTCAACAGAACCTATTCACACCACAGATTTACTTTTAACGCTTCTGTTATATGTTCAAATAACCGTGACGTACAAAAGCAACCGAATGAAAACCGGACAGTGGAAAGCATGTCAGAAAATCTTGTAATGGCTATTTAAATTGTAAGACCTTTGTCATTTGGATGTACTCGGACAAAACACAGAAAACTGAGAACGGAAACAAATGCTGTCTCATAAATGCATTGATGTTTTACATTCATGGCAGGGTAGGGTCGCGTAAGGTCAGTAAACATTAATTTTCAATTTTTCTGAATCACATTATATATATATTTCCTACTAGAATTTTGAACTCTGTGATAGGAGAACTCGTTTACGACGCTGGTATTTCGTAATCCTGAACTTTATTTTGTTACGGTCGGTGTATTTAAATGTACATGTATATACTAGTATATCAACAACTGATTAGCATTAAAAATCTTAAATGTACGTTTTGGTTCACTTGTTAACCATTTTTATTTGTTCCATAATATAAAATTGTCCGTAGCGGTTTAAGAATATTAACTGTTTTTGAAATGATGTAAATGTTGTAAATATCCAGTTCCCAAGCGATCACTGAATTTAACAAACCAACCTCGAACGTTTTCTTTGGGTTATCTGGACAGGATACACAAAGCTTTCTTCTGAGACTGACCACGATATGGCCATATATTCCGTTAATTGCTTATCATTCTATTTACATTATCCAGTATTCGATTTTAAGGCAAACATTTTAAGCCCGGCGGGTGGAAAGAAGCATCACATGACCTCGTATACAGAACAAATTGTTTATCTATGGATGCATGACCTCACAGATTAAATTGTGATGATGAAAACCTACCTGTAAATCATTTATCAATATAAATTGAAGATATTCCCGATTATACATATTAACATATATATACCCGGTATTATAAAATTTCAATTTGAATCGCTTGTACAAGAGGGGAGGGAGCCGGTAATTTTTTCCAAAATAGTCTTCCAATAGTACGTAGATTTTGTATAAAATTGTTTCATTTGCAGGCCACTTTCCACAACATACACACAATATGCACATGGCGTCTCAAAATGTGTGGAAAAAATTCTCGAGATGGACGTTAAACATCATAAAAACAAACAAACAAGATACACTTTAAAGGTTTTGTTGAAGTGTGGTGTACCCTTTTATTGTATTTACCCCCCCCCCCTCCCGATTTTCGTGTTTAATTAGGTTTTTGGTTCATTTGGTTTAGGATTCAAACACCCCTCCTAACATACACTGAAAATGGTCCTCTCGAGCTGAGTTGTAAAAATTTTAATAATTATTTTAAAGCAGATTTGAATCCTTTGACAATTAATTTTTTTTCAAATGCTTAAATTTCTTTTATAATCATCTTGATGGAAAGTTAAGTTTTAACTATATTTCTGAACGTTCCCAAATGTCAGGGATGTAATATTGTACGCAAGAACAAAATTCATGTTTTGTTTTGGAAGCAGGTGCCATTTTTACAAAGAAAAGTTTCATAACATTGCAGAACTAAATTTCGAACCATATTTTCCAGTATACATGTACAATAAAACTCAATGACTGTGTTTCTGTCCAAGCAATATATGAACAAGCTAATTCAGAGAATTCGTGTCCCCCGCTTAGGGAAAAAGTCGGCTCCCCCTGACTGAATTTGTAGAATTATTCAAAGTATACATGTATACTGAAGGAAATAAAATACATGTATGTCAATATGCATATAAAGATTTGATTGCTTATTCTTTATTATGTGTATAGATTTTTTTATATGGAATATTTATCACACTGTAATGATGATTTTATAACCTCATAAATTTTTCATTTCACATGCTGAATACTATCATTTAGTAAAAAAAAAAGTATTTAAAAAAAAAAAAAAAAAAAAGAAAGGTTCGATCGAGATTCGATCCCGGGACCTTTCACACTCGAAGCGAGAGACATAACCACTAGACCACGGAGTCGCTTTACATGGCCGGAAGTATATGCAGAACTGAAGTCACATACATGTATATATTCATGTTTTCATGTTCGGTATTCTCAAAATTTTACACAATCCATGGTGTTTGATTTATTTAGCCTTTATTAAACAGTGCTAATAGATGTAATAAGAACATAAAGTCCGCCGAGAGCCTGTTTTATACGCAATAACTCTCCTCATGCCCCTGCGCTAAAAATAGCGACATGTAATACTATAAATACTAATAAAACAAACGGGGCGGGGCACTTTGAGAGGGGCGAGAGACGTCCTAGGGAGTTTTGGTATAAAATTACATTGCATAAGCTCAAAATCTTCTTGAAATATCGCCCGGAAATGATAGTGTTACACACTAACATAATGTATAAATTTACGACCTTGAACTTTGACCTTTTGACCTCAAAATCAATAGGGGTCTTCTTTAGGCCACAGGGAGTTGTTATGTAAAATTTCATTGCAATAGCTCAAATGGTTCTAGAGATATCGTGTGGAAACGAAAGTGTTTTAACAGACAGAATTTGCTTATTTATGACCTTGACCTTTGAGCTTTTGACCTCAAAATCAATAGGGGTCTTCTTTAGTCCATAGGGAGTTGCTATGCTAAATTTCATTGCAAAAGCTCAAAGGGTTCTCGAGATATCGTGTGGAAACGAAAGCGTTACAGACAGACAGAAAGACGGACGGACGGACGGACGGACAGACGGACGGACGGACAAACCCAAATTAATATCCCCCACTTTTCAAGCGGGGGACAACAATATGAACAATAACAATGAATATTGAAATCCTAAGGGATCAACAATACTTTGAAAGGTCCAAATTCTTTTTGATATTTCTTAACTGCATGTATACATGTATTCTGAATTTTATGCTTATTTAAAGTTTAAAAGAAATATGGTTTAAACTAAATATCTTTTGATTCATATGCAAATAATTTTATAATAGGTCAAGGTCAAAGATTTACTATAGTATTCATTTTTGCATTTTAAGGTCAAAAGTTATACATGTGGCTATACGCTCGTTTGTCGCTGGCTGTCAGCATCAATGATGTTGTTTCACAGAAACCATCTCGACTAAACTTACAAAAACGAATAGATTTCTTCTCAATCCAGTTAATGATATATAGAGCACTTTAAAGTTAAAAGAAATGATTCTTAATATCCAGAAAGCATCGAAATTTCTGACAATTATGAACACCTTTAATGAAAAGTTTATATAAACAAATGATACGTTAGTCATGCTGTTTGGTTCAGTGGAGGTACCTCGTTGAAATAAAACGATGCAGTATTTCTTTTACCATTCCCATATATTATCATATCTATTGTTCGTTCAGCCATACTATAATGTTTACGATATCAATTAGGAAAACCAATTAAGGTCAAAATTCCATTTAAATCCCCAGACCAGACTCGTTCACTGATACTTTCCGAAAATAAGACTTGATAGCTTGAGGCTAAAAATTGGTATACATGTACAATTTGAACCTTAACGATGCTTATTTGAACGTTCTGGATATGGTAATGTCCATCCTGGGCTTTACATGCACAAGCTTTAAGACATCTACGATCCGTCAAAAGAATTATTTCACTTTTAGATGACCGGGTTGTAATTAAGATTTTATATGAGAGCAATACTTCCTTTAATTGTATAAACTATAAATCAATATATATCGATACATGAGGTAAGTAAAACCAATATCCAGTACCCAATTTATATCCGAACCAAAATCGTCTTTGTTCTGATAATGGTGTTTTTACATGTTCCTTACTGTCCTCAAAATAGAAAATTGTGTTTAAAATCTCTATTACTTGTGAAGTTGTGTAATACATGGTTTAAATACCTTCGCTCTTTTTAAGGAGATTCAGAAAATACAGTTTTAAAGTCAATATTTTCTAACTTCTGCAGTATAATTTCATGCCTTACAGGTTGCTAACACATTTCAGACCGATATATTGTAGAAGCATATTGGAAATAAATTCTACGAATTTCGGGACGCGTTTGATTGACACATTCCATGAAGTATTTGAATATTTCCATAACATCTAAGAATGTTAAATGTTCTTGTGTGATAATGATAAAATTAATAAGGTTAGAACCACACGAAAAAAATCAAAACAAACAGGACAATTTTGTCAGTTTGTGTTGCAGAGTTGACAAATAGAACACTCTGGTGAAATTTCATTATTACCAATAATAGATCTCGTGCCCATGTTTACTAACACAACTGTTTCAATGACATAATGTTTTGGAAAATACCGTGATCATTAACTTTTGATAAATTTCATATTCCTTCAATTCTTTAAACAAGTTATTTCCGAATGGAAATGGAAAATTAAGTTGTAAGCATAACGCCAATTGAAACTTATTCAGTTCAGGCCCCTTTAAAAGTAAAATTGGTCAATTAAGCTGATGTAAATATTGATATAATGTATATTGTTGGTCATTGTCGACCACTTCGATTTCATAATGAATCGATCGAAATTAAAGCAGTGCTTTATTAAGTATTTAGTACCGTATATACTCTCCTATAAGTCGAATTTTTGGGAGTTAATTTTTTGGTCCAAAACTCTATGTCCGACTTATAGGTGAGCTATAAAATGAATGGTATGATATGAGGTCAGTCCCTCTGATATATAAGCTTATTAAATACAACCGACTTATAGGCGGACTGACTTATAGCCGAATATATACAGTACATGTATTCTCTTTCGAAGGGTTACATCTAATGCGGAATGGAAGGCAAAAACCCATCTGAATATCGATGACATTCACTTGTTGACCGCAACCACACAAAGAACTACACACGCTAACTCGAGATTCCCGCCTACATTTTGCACCCATTTAGATCTAATTCAATATTAAATAGCAATTGGCCATAAAATCTTTGTTTAATACAAAGGACAGTTCAATGGTAATTGATTAATTATTTTAATACTGTAGCAGCGCTAAATACTAAATTATCTCTTATTTTAGCTCTAAAAAGGGGTAATCGACGATATTTTCTATGGAAATCGGCATTTCAAGCATCACCGTTTTTTGAAATAGTCTTGAATGTGATTAAGTGTTCCTTAAATCCTTTCTTATGTGTAACACGTATAAATATAAACATATATACATTTAAAATATACTATGTGTTAGTTGTAAACTACATTGAAATTGTTGAAAAAATAAATATTTCTGTCATTGTTTCATTGTTTGTCTATAAACATATGCCCCCTCCCCCCGGTGAAACACAAAAAGCTTTGGTATGAATCTGTGAAATGACAGTCCATATAACATGTATCTGTGAAAAGGATTTTTTGTTTCGGGGGGGGGGGGGGGGGGTTATTAAAAATAATTTCCGTTCAACGTTGATTTCTATAGTGAAAAACACAGGCTTTACCAAAATTTTAGAGATATCTCTCCTTGTTTTCCCCTACAAGTAATGTTTTATGAAAATCCATATAAATATCTATAAAAATACTGAAAATCATTTAAATATGTTAACTTTTGAAAATTGACTCGGAGGTACATGTACATGTAGACAAAATCCACAAATGGTCAATAAGCTGATAAATCAGCAGTAGTTTTATTCGCTAGACTTAATAAATTGATATACAGATCAAAAAGGAGGAAAAACGATCATGCACATGCCTTAATATTGTGATATTTTTCTTCTCTCTATCTCATCTCTCTCTCTCTTTCAATCTTCTAACTGGTACAGATATAAACAGGCACGAAATAACATAGTAATGGATCATTATTTGATTTAATTAATATCAAATACTTCATTAATTTGTTTTAAAAGTTTTTTTTTTTAACTTTTATTCTTTTTATACACTCCGTTTAAAAAAAGCAACAATAATTTGACACAAATTCCAAGGCTAATATCGCATCTGAAAATGATATCGATGAAATAATAATGAAACAATGAAATAATGAATCAAATGTGTTGTTGAATTGCTAGACAACAATGTGCACATCCAGCGAGCGTTACCCAAGGTATACTAATAGACAGGTGTGAAACCCCCAGGCCATGTCGTTTCCTGCTCAGACACTGCTAATCCCTATACACACGAAATGATCGCGGCTAATACTTAATACACAAAGAAACAGAATTTGTAAAAGAAAACAAAAATATATTTTTTTTGCGTTGAATATTTATTAATATAAGCTATAATTTCGTCTGTGAAGTTTATCATTACACCTGCACATCCTATCTTATCTATTGAACACGAAAATCGATAAATATTAAAATTAAAAAGAAAGACATTGTTTTAAAAAGTACTACATGTTAATATGAAGGTGAAAAACGGTATTTTTTCTTGATCTCTTGTATAAAGTTCACGTGCTCAAAGTTAACTCTCGTCATCGAATGCTTTCCGGTCATTTGGCAATTTGAGAAAAATGCCTGCACATTTATATAAAAGAGGTAAATAAAATAAAGTAAAGTTTTCTTAATTTGGGAACATAACATAAACGATGAGAAATAAAGAAAAATAAAACTTTTTCTTGATATCTTGGATAAAGAAAATTTAAGTTCACGTGCCCACTACATGTAATTGCAAACGCTCGTCATCGAATGTTTTCCGGTGATTTGACACATTAAGAAAAAGCCTGTACATTTTATATACAATAAATCGAAATTAATTAATAAACAATATGAAGATGTACATTTTAAAAAAGATGTACATCTTTTTTTTCAAATGAATGCTGAAAATCGTTTATCGAAACTTAAAAACAGTCTGAGTTCAACATTTATTACAGTTTGCATATCATATGAAGATTAAAAAAAAAACAACTAAATTTCTAGTATTTAATTTTGTTTCTTGATAGATTCTTAACAACTTAAAACAATTAACCGATTGCAAAGACGTAACAATTTAATATAATTTTCTATTCAATTTCAAGGATTGTTATGTAATTTTAGAAACAAAAATAAACTTATTTTTTCTTAGTTTAAATTCTATTCAAAATTTATTAATAAACACACTTTTTTTTTTTTTTTTTTTTTTTTTTTTTTTTTTTTTTGTTACAGGGAAAATTCGCAAATTACAATTTGGGGAGATAACTCCCGTTTGTTTACGATACTAATTGTCAGTAATTGATCGATGATTTAACCGCGGCGGGGACAGGTAAGTGATGAATTTCCCGCGGAGGGAACGCGGTTTACCTGTCTACCTGGCCAAATACCGCGTTGTGATTATACCGCGGCGGGGACGCGGGAAATACGGGATCCGCGTTGCCTGTACTGTAGGCGGGAGAACAATGCTATCGTTGCACTTCTTTTCAACTGTACATACCTTTACATTAATGAATCAACATAAGTCATACTTTATACATGTCTGTAGTCACTTCCATTGAAATCCTTATCAAGGAAAGGCTTTATGCATAAGCTTATTCCTTTTCTTTACCAGTTCTAAAATAGATACTTCTTATAGCATAACTTTATTTAATTAGAAATTTCAGGATGAAAAGCCTACTTCAATGGTTCTACATGCTATGTTTCTTTGGTGGCTTTTCTGTGCTATTCATGTTTTTCCATACTGACGTCAAGAGAAAATTAATTACGCCATCATTTGAATCCTTATTCCTGCACAATGCCGATGTCTTTACTGAGGAGGTCCCAAAGTATTATTGCCCAAGTCACATTGAAGAGGATGCGGCTGAAGACATACTTTGTATGGTAAGGATACCTTTGCTACATATTTGTGGACAATATTTATAAGTGGACCACCCTAACAAAAATACCTTAGTAAACTGTACATTGTTAACTATTAGTAAATAAAAAAATCAGTTCCAGTTGAAGCTCTTCACTATAGTAAAGCAAAGTTCCAAAGTTTTCACTATAGTTAATCAAAGTTCCAAAGTTTTTACGATAGTAAATCAAAGTTCCAAAGTTTTTACTACAGTAAATCACAGATTTTACTATAGCCTATAATAGTAAATCAAAGTTCCCAAGTTCTTACTATAGTAAATCAAATTTCCAAAGTTTTCACTGTAATAAATCAAAGTTCCAAAGTTTTAACTTTGGTACTATAGTTAATTACTGTAGTAAACTACAGTTTACTATAGTATTTTGTTAGGGTATGTTGACAGCTTAGAGTACTAGGATAATCTTCTCCTGAAATGGTTTCTGGGTTCAATTTTTTGAAAACATTTCCCCCCTAAGAAATGGGTGTTGAGCCTTTAGTAAATTGTTGAATTATACTGTTTGATGGAATTTGAATTCACTTTGCAAACGGTTACAATTTTAAAATAAGTACATGTTTTGAAAATCAGGAGAGGAAGAAGTTTCTAAAAAATTACAAAAATCCATGCTGGTTTCAAGAGGTAGAAGAGAATGGAAGTTACCCCGCAGAAATGGAACTCCGCTGTTTCCCATACTTCCATATATTTGGTGTTTGTAAGACCGGAACAACGGATCTCTTCTTCCGTCTGACCCGGCATCCTCAGATACTGAATAATTACGGTCTTCTTAATAAGGAGACTTGGTATTGGTCCTGGAGGCGATATGGTCAGGGTAAGTATCAGTGGCGGATCCAAGAATCTTGAAAGGGGGCTACCAGTTTTTCTCTGGATAGGGGTCCACAGCCACACACAGAAATGATTTATTAAATCTTATGTATATTTTAAAAACAAAAAAGGGGTGCGGGCCCCCTGGGCTCCCTCTGATATACTTGTATAATAATTCTTCCTCATTTCACAATGTAACATATTGTGTAGAATTCAGAATTGCATATTTTAAAAATTAAAGTTTTTTTTTTAACTTTTCGTTCTAACCTCCAATGCTTATGTACCGTGTACATGAATGTAAAATGTTTTTTCAATGTATATTTTCAAAATGAACAAGTTTATTTTAATGATAGTACGAACATGTTCATTTAATAGTATATTTAAATTTTAAATTAGTTTATGTTGTAAAAAAAATATCACCTATGTTATTTAAATTTAATATCACCTATGTTATTTAAATTTTATCTTTTAATGTTTTATCTTTTAATTATTTTTATCATGTTTTGTCTTTTAACTTATTTATCAGACATGTATATTAACTAGGTTCCATAAATGGGACAAAAATCACACTAGACCAATTCTCGACGATATTCAGTAGGCCTAAAATGAGGGAAACCAAAATTTCAGTAGTAGACTGGTCACAGTATTCCGACCTCATCACAGGTAAAGTGTTATAATTAATATAAATGCTTTTATTTTCAATTTATATTTTTAAATGCATTTCATTCAAATTTAGACCTAATCAATGTTGCCACTTAATGAGTAGTTAGGAAAATTAAAGACAAGTGAAAAATATTTAAATCTATCTTCACTATACCAGTATAAATGTGTATCTATGCACTCAAAAGAGGGGACTATATATGATTGATAATTTTGTCCCAGTGGCTGGTTGTCTTCCTGATTATAATATAGGCCTAAAGTATAATTTTAAGTATGGTTAGTATATCCGGAACAAGAGTTCAGATTTTCTCTGGCTTGCTAAAATCAAATTAATTTTTATATGGATAATTTTATCTTAGAAAGTTTTGTGTACTGGTGTAATTTCATTATGTTTCGAATAGATGTGACAAAAAAGTCCTTTTTGCATCGTACAGAAAAAAAAATGAATTTCTTAATTTACAGTTTGTGTGTGTGTTCTGAAAAATACTTGGTAAATTAATGAGTAGTAATATATCATCTCAATTTCACTTAATTGTTGTTCTGCATATAGCTATAAGTGTCATAGAAGGTTAGAAAAGAAGGATATGGATATAACGAACAGTATTCAATATCAAAGTCCATAAAACAATACAAAATAGGAGCAGAGCAAACGCGGACCTCCGAAACATCAGAGGTGGGATCAGGTGCAGTGGAGGAGTGAGCATCCCCTGCTGACCTGTCACACCCGCCATATGCTCCTTGTCATGATCGGGAAATAACGGAAAAATCCGTCGTCAATTCAGTGTATAAATAATGGACTAACAATTAGTATGAAAAACGTCAGTCAGCATTTGTCTCAATGATAAACTGTATTTACTGATAAGGTCATTGTATCGACCATAGAATTTACGAAAATGATGACTTTAAACGAGACTGTTGATATTCTTGTTTCATCAACTCGCTTGTCAATAATTTACTTCGTTTTAGAAATTGTTCATACGTAGAGCATGCTCTTGCGTATCGAATCAACTGAGATATATACACTCCGTGTGCAGGTGATGAAGGTATATTGCTGCATAAGTAAGGGAAGCTGACGATAGAAAAGTTAAAGTCATCACGTTTATCATATAGCTTGGTTGTTAGATTACCATTTACGTCTTTTTTCAAGTAAAATTCCCAAGTATGAAACAGATGTGTCAGACTCTGTTGTATCCTTTTTCTCAAGATCACCAGGATATATCATGTCGACGTAGGAATGGAAATGACCATTGTTAATTGGCAATACGTCGTCGATATATCTGAATGTCGAGTTGAAGGCCACAGCAAGTGTTTCTTCTTTTCACGCATAAGATTTTGCACAAATTCTGCTTCATATGAATATGAAAATACTATAAAAACCCGTAAACTTAAATATTTTTTTATTAAACATCTGCAACGATTTATATTGATGATAAATTATCAACCGAGTCCAATTTGTTGGCTTTTCTTTTCTTTGATCTTTGATATGTTACTGTTTGTTGTTTTTAAAACTCAGTTTCAGGAAAAATATACAGAAACTTTTATCAAGCCTTACGAATACAAATTGACAAAAGCTTTCTAAACAACTAGCTTTGCTAAATAAAGGTTCTGACCTTACCAGTTCATGTGACTTTTACTTCAGTTTTTCTAATTGACTCTAAACTTTACAACATTCAAGCCCAAAAGTCTATTTAAAAAATACAAATCAGACGCAGAGTAAACAGGGACGTTTCTCTTTTTGCTTTAAATGTGCATACTTAATGAACCCTTGGTGGAGCATTCATTTCTATGGACATATATATGTTTGTATACTTCTAGTTTTACATGTATCCATATCCAATCACGAAACTGTCTTGGCATTGCAAACTTTGAAAAGCGTTGTCCGTTCTATATAGTGTTTCCTATGCAGGTCACGGCGATCCTATGGATTTTTGGGATCACAATCATTGGCGAGAAATTCCACAAAACGCTCCATACCACAAGTCACCAAAATTCTTGACACCACACTTAGTAAAGCATGTGCAACCAAACATCAAATTGATCCTGTTGCTTCGAGAACCAGCAGAAAGGTACAAGATATGATTGCTTTTCAAACAAGTTGTTTATATGCCCCTTTTATAAAAGATAATTTCATGCAAGAAACAATTACAGAGCAGACGGATCCTCAAAAAGATAAAGGGAGAAAAAAATTACAGGTTAAGGTGAATACTCAAAATACATGATACATGATATATTATATACTACTAGAATTAAGATTTGGGGTTCAAAACTGCAGAAAACTGATGGAATTATAGCCTTATTTCTTTCAGTAGATAAAACATATATTGAATGATATTTAAATAATGATATTATTTAAAACTATATCAAAAAATGCGTTTCTAATGTAAAAAGATATGTTACTAATTTTTAGCTCACCTCAACGAAGTTGGGGGGAGCTTATGTGATACCCTCGGCGTCGGCGTCGGCGTCGGCGTCCCAGGTTAAGGTTAAGTTTTTTGGAGCAGTTTTCTTTTTAATTACTTCTGTGTCCTATACTGATTAGACATGCATGGAAAATGGTTTTAGTGTGTTTTATTGTACCAGACAAAGTTTCAGATGCTGCAATTTCAGCAAAGGAATTACCAGGTTAATGTTTTTGGAGCAGGTTAACATTTTTGGTGCAGTTTTTGGTGTGGGTTTCATTTCCAAGTAACTATCAGGCCTATGTTGACCAAACTTGCATGGATGATACATCTAAGGATGCATACTACCGGGATTGCTTCGGATGCTGAATCTGACCTACATTTTCCGGTTGAGTGAACAGGTTAAAGTTTTTGGTGCAGGTTTCATTTCCAAGTAACTATAAGCCCTATGTTGACCAAACTTGCATGGATGATACATCTAAGGATGCATACTACCGGGCTTGCTTCGGATGCTGAATCTGACCTACATTTTCCGGTTGAGTGAACAGGTTCAAGTTTTTGGTGTAGGTTTCATTTCCAAGTAACTATAAGCCCTATGTTGACCAAACTTGCATGGATGATACATCTAAGGATGCATACTACCGGGCTTGCTTCGGATGCTGAATCTGACCTACATTTTCCAGTTGAGTGAACAGGTTAAAGTTTTTGGTGCAGGTTTCATTTCCAAGTAACTATAAGCCCTATGTTGACCAAACTTGCATGGATGATACATCTAAGGATGCATACTACCGGGATTGCTTCGGATGCTGAATCTGACCTACAATTTCCGGTTGAGTGAACAGGTTAAAGTTTTTGGTGCAGGTTTCATTTCCAAGTAACTATAAGCCCTATGTTGACCAAACTTGCATGGATGATACATCTAAGGATGCATACTACCGGGCTTGCTTCGGATGCTGAATCTGACCTACATTTTCCGGTTGAGTGAACAGGTTAAAGTTTTTGGTGCAGGTTTCATTTGCAAGTAACTATAAGCCCTATGTTGACCAAACTTGCATGGATGATACATCTAAGGATGCATACTACCGGGCTTGCTTCGGATGCTGAATCTGACCTACATTTTCCGGTTGAGTGAACAGGTTCAAGTTTTTGGTGCAGGTTTCATTTCCAAGTAACTATAAGCCCTATGTTGACCAAACTTGCATGGATGATACATCTAAGGATGCATACTACCGGGCTTGCTTCGGATGCTGAATCTGACCTACATTTTCCAGTTGAGTGAACAGGTTAAAGTTTTTGGTGCAGGTTTCATTTGCAAGTAACTTTAAGCCCTATGTTGACCAAACTTGCATGGATGATACGTCTAAGGATGCACACTACCAGGCTTGCTTCGGATGCTGAATCTGACCTACATTTTCTGGTTGAGTGAATAGTTAAAAGTTTTTGGTGCAGGTTTCATTTCCAAGGAACTATGAGTTCTTTAATGAACAGTCTTGCATAGATGATACATCTAAGGATGCATACTTCCAGGCTTGCTTCGGAAGCTGAATCTGACCTACTTTTTGTGGATGAGTGAAAATGTTAGTTTTAATGCATGTTTCATTTCCAATAAACTATGAGCCCTATAATGAGCAAACTTGCATGGATGATACATCTAAGGATGCACACTAATGGACTTGCTTCGGATGCTGAATTGGACATACATTTTTCAGATAATAGACAAGGTAAAAGTTATGGTTGCAGGTCTATTACCAAACACTATAAGGCTTATATAACATTGTATAAACCAAACTTTCACAAATGCTGCATCAAGAGATGAAAACTCTCAAATTTGCTTCAGATGCTGGATTTTCATTACATTTTCATGAAGAAAAAGTAGTTTAAATTTTTTATGTAGGTCTATTTCAAAGTATCAGATCAAAATTGCTTTTAAAAATATTTTCATTTTTGGAATGTATACTTTTTGTTGGTTAATTGTGTGACTTTGCCTTACTTAAAGACAACATTCGTTGAGGTGAGCTCTGTAATCTCTGATTACCTATGTTTTTATTTTACTTACAATGTATTTCAGATTGTACAGTCATTATTACCATGGACAATATGGCAGAACATCGGAAGAATTTCATCATGACGTCATCACAGGGATACAAGTGCTAAACGAGTGCCTATCCTTTAACAGTTACAGAACTTGTTTATATGGATATAATATATCCGAATTAATGCGTGTAAGTCTGCAGATAGAAAGATAGGGTATTACAAGAATGGTAAAATTAAGGATATATTACGATAAATAACTTCTTTCCGTAATTTTTAAATGAAAGGAAAAATTCCATTTATGGATCTCTTTCAAATTATATGCACCTTATTTTGAAGGAATACGAAAATCCTTAATAATTACATTATTTTATAATATTTCTTAAATACCACTTCATTTTTCAATTGTGAAATGCATAGTTTATTTATAGACGAGTTTAATTGTTAAAGAATACACCATGGACTAGTATTTATGGGTTTTGTTTTTTTTTACATGTTTCTCGTAATTATTCTTTTGATTCCAGTTTTGTTTATATTGTCTATTTCATATGCCTTTTACATTTTTAAATCGAAAGTTCTGATAAATAACCTGTCATATCTTTTCAGCTTCCACTATCCGCTAGTTTATACTATATTCATCTCCAAGAGTGGCTAGATGCATTCCCCCGGGAACAGATATTTATTTTAAGGAATGAAGATTATCAGAAAGATGTGAAATACAGTCTCTTAAAATTATTTTCATTCCTTAATGTTGGTAAGTAGGTTTGTTTCTTGAAATAAATGGATCATATATGACATGCAATCAAAGTTGCATTTTATGAAATGCGACAATCTAAACGAACTTCACTATTAAATCAAAATATAACTTATACAAATACACAGCTCAAGATATAGATATTAATGATAAAATATAACCAAATAGAGTAATTGTAGATGGTACTTATTCATAATTGTAGTTTGTTTGGGTCTTGTAAACTGGATAACTCAGTGGTAAGGAAAACCAGACCTAATAATGTTCAATTCAAGATCCAGTCAAAAATTTTCGTTGTGTATTTCATTCTTTATTCTTTCATACTACACATCATTCGCACAATTCGGCTTCATTTTTTTTCCCTTATATGATCATCCAATATTCAACTTATTTCATTTTGTTTTAGGAGACATTTCGTCAACTCTTTTAAACCAGATAGCAAATATGCCACACAAATACGAAACAAAACGGAAGCAAAGTCAAGGCTCTATGCTGAACGAAACATGGGAAATATTATCTGATTTTTTCGAGGAACCAAATAGAAAATTGGCAGCCATGTTAAATGACGAAAGATATCTTTGGAAAGACGCAGTATTCAAGTTCAGACCTAAAAAGATACAGAGTAAAGGAATAAGGATAAAGGGAGACGATCATTTAAGGCATTACTACGAAAGAAAGAAAAATTCAAAACTAAATCCCAAATCTATGATTGATCGTTTTATTATGTCATCCAGTTCCTTTGAAGAATGGGTAGCAAAGGTGAAGAAATATCAGGAAGAAAGATATAAAGCAAACAATCGGATTCCGAGGAGAAAGTCACAGAGAAATTTTCATCGTGAAAAACTTAAAATGATGATTCAACCATCTTCTTTGCCATTTCCTCCATCTAATAGAAATTTAACATTACATCAATCAAAAAGAAATGAAAGTGAAGTTTTAAAAGTAGTAACGTTAACAAACAGTTCTATATCAGATCAGAAGAGACAATATATTCAGAAAGATTTTACAAACACAAGTGAAACTAAAAGAACGGAAACTATGAACAATTATACAGATATTAGTCAAAGTATACCAGCTGCTCATGTAGGAAATATAACTCGTATTAGTTCGAAACCAATAAGAAAAAGAATGCGAAATTTTCATCGAGGAAGAAAAAGACGTGAGAGACGGACATTTCATAACTTTAAGTCTTTAAATTGACATACATGTATATCTTTTATGTGGGTTGCCAAAACTCATCTACCATGTTGATGATTATGTTTAACTGTGAATGCGTATTTTTGTTCGAAGTGCAATATACATTTCTTGGAACAAAACTGTTAAATATCATTATGCGGTACATTGTTGTTTTACTTTTTAAATTTTTTTTTTCAACTTCCAAAGAACAGTTTGTGTTCTTGAAAACTTTCTACTTTGTTAATTTATGTGGGATCAAGCGGGTAAGAAATAAAATACTCAAAAGTTTTTTTTCTGTCTTCTTGGTCCTGTATTTTTCTGTTTTGTTGATATCAATGATGAGTGGTTCCTTTATTTATGATTGACTGTAAATTGTAATAAGTCTTATTCGAGAATTTTTATTATCGAGAATTCGACTTATAAAGAGGAATCACTCTTCAGTTTAGACCATCCTTTACTCATAAATGAAGTTAAAACAATTGTATACCTTTACTCTGCACTCAGAGCCATAGAGCATTGAGAGATCTTTATTGTGCCATTACTTGCTCTGACAAATTAGTTTCGGTTTTTAAGGTCTTACTCGAAGGAGCCGAAATTTTCATGTCATGTCAAAATGCCGCGCTTGAAGGAATTTCTTTTTATCGAGTTAGGTTAGAGAATATTGACAATCTGGATAAGTTTTCTTTGTGATATATTTGAAGAAAACCCCCAATATTCATGACTGGTTTTTCTTCATATTTCTTTGAAAGTAATGAATTGAATTATTTTGTCATATGTAAAATGTTGATTTGACTTGCTATTGCTGCTCCTGATGTGTGATGTCTGAATGGACTTTTGCGTTTAAATATTGCTCGTTATCTTCAAAACCTTTTACATGCGAAAATAGAAAACACGATGGCCTTCAAATCGACATTCAGATATATCGAAGACACATTATCGATTAACAATACTTATTTCCATTCATATGTCCACTAGATGTATCCAAAAGATCTTGAAATTAAAGAATCCAGAGTCTGACACATCTGTTTCATATTTAGATATGTTACGAGAAAAAAACGTTAATGGTAATCTAACCACTAAGCTTTATGATAAACGCGATGACATTAACTTTTCAAACGTCATCTTCTTTAAACGTATGCAGAAATATACCTGGTCAACTACATACGGGTTTATATCTCTCAGGTATATATTTTCACCATGCATCAAACATACCTTGCCGCGCTTGAATGGAATTTCTTTTTATCTTCGACCCCTACTATAAAAATACAGGTAGCGGTAACTTTAAAAGAAGATAAATATGTTGGTTACGTCATATTTTACATCATCAAAGGGGAATAACCAGAAATTTATGATTGTGCGATTTTTTTTCCTTATAAAATTTGACTTCGATAGTCAAATTCAAAGATTGGTAATTTTACCTAAATTTTAAAGAAATTTCAATATTCTTTTTAGAGCTGGTTTTCACTAGTATTTTCATTTTTTACATTGAAATTAATGAATTGAATTATTTTGTCATAAATTATATATGGATGACACAGTTCAGAAAATTTGTTTAAACTAATATTTTATAAAAATTTGACTCTCTATATATTCCACTCCTCATTATTGCAATAAGCTCCGGATGTGTGATTTTTATATAGAGAATAGGGTAGACTTTATAAAACGTTTGGTTTAATTTTTATTGTTCGTTATCTTCAAAATCTTTTACATGCAAAAATAGAAAACACAATGGCCTTCAAATCGACATTCAGATATATCAAAGACACATTATCAATTAACAATACTTATTTCCATTCATATGTCCACATAAATAATCTTTATCACATATTTGTTAATTTATATATAGAGTGAGTTTAAACAAATTTTTGAATTGATAGGATAGATTATACCACAAATGTGTCATCCATATATAATTTATGTGGCACATCTGTTTCATATCTGGATATGTTACCGCATTATAAGCAAAAAACGTCAAGTGGTAATCGTTCTAACCACAATTAAATTTAAAGTATTATTTAATTAAAAAGATAAAAATATATCCATATCAAGCTTAAATGGCATTTTAAAACTTTTCAAACGTTATTCTAAAAACTCTATTTTTGAGGATATTTTCCTTAAAGGGCATATAATTGTGTCCCAAATTGATATATACCTAAATGTTAAACCCATTTTGTAACACGGGTCTATATCTCTAAAGTGTATATTGAGTATGCTTTACGTATTAACAATTTCTAAAACGAGGAAAGTTATTGACAAACAAGTTGATGAAAAAAGAATATAAATTTTTTCGTTTAAAGCCAAAAATTCTTAAGTTAAGTGGTCGATAATGACATTGTCAGCAAATACAAACTATCATTTAGTCAAATGATGACTGTTGTGACACCATTACTAGTAATTAAACACTGAATTGTCGACAGTGAGCACCACCTTTCAGTTACTACATCTTTTTTGACTTTGATTTTGGGATTCAAACTCCTTAACATCATTTCTTGAATTGATTGCAGTTTCTTGTTTAGAGCATTAATAGAGGGTGAAGCCCTGAACCAGTGAGAGCGAAGCTCTCTCTTTAAGTTATACAGGTATATTGAATTCCACCTAAAACTTTATTTTTATATTTTTGTAGGAGAGTAGAAAGAGGCTTGATAGAACATAACATTTAAGGAAGATCATGATTGAAAGGGAAAAGTGAGTGGAATGTGTAATCAGTAAAAAATGAAGAAAAGGAACAGTGATCAATGATTTAAAAAAAAGTCCAAAAATAGTGCAAATATGCGAAAAGAGCATAAAACATTGCGCCACTGGAAATTTTTAAGGTGGGATCAAGTGCCCTGGGGGATTCGGATTGAGCATCTCCCTTTTACCTTTTGAAACATTACGAAACGGGGGAATAGCAAACACAAAATTGTAAACAAAAAAGATGTGGGATCAGTTGTCATGGAAGAGTAAGCATTCCATGTCGACCGGTCGCACATGCGTTGTGCTTCATGTCATGATCGAAAAAAACCCATTAAAATCAAATACATGTACATTCAGTGTTTTTTAAAAATGTCTAAATAAGTATTAGAAATGCAGCAATTGACTTTTATGATATAAGAGGGTTTATACACTGACCTTATTGGCCAATCTAACACGAAGTTTAATGCTGACAAAAATGCATTTCTAATACTTATTTAGACATTTTTTAAAAAACACTGAATGTACATGTATTTGATTTTAATGGGTTTTTTTTCGATCATGGCATCTGATCCCACCTCTGATGTTTTGAAGGTCCGTGTTTGCTCTGCTCCTTTTTAACTGAATATTATCTCAATATGTTTCATCAAGGTCAAAGAAATTCAAAAGGTAAAACTATGTAGATGCTCTCAGACTTATCATTTAAATATAAATCAAAAGATTAGAGAAACAGTAAGCTTTGGTTAGTGACAAAAGAAATTTTGATATCACCAAATTGAAAAAGAATGTCATGTGGACGATGATTTTCCTTTCATTTTTATGCGCAGATTTATTCTGTGAAATAAAAACCAAAGCCATAAATTCTTTAAAAATATATTTCATCTAAATTCAATCATATTTCTGCAACAAAAATTTTCCTACCAAAAAGATCTATATTAAAAAAGACTTACAAAGAACTGCCCAGATGAATATTTTAAGTCTTTCATCTTCGAAACACAATGTACAATTGGTAATCACAGACAATATTCTGTAATTCCTATCATGATATCAATATTACAGTGTGTAACTGAGGCATTACATAATTAAATAAAAGAGTCATATCCCAAAAAGCAGTACATTGTAACACTTTTCTCTTCAAATTAAAAATTTGCCCACTGAATGCTAATGATATAAATATTACTTCTAAAGCTAGTTTAAAACCGACAAAGTCTATGTAGATAAATACGTTTTACATGTACATGTGTCATTTAAAAAAATCAAGAACACTGATAATATGGCAAAGAAGTACATGTAAAATACCTAAAAATATTCGACAAAAATCAGAGTAAGTGAAAATACATAAAAATTAATTTTCTGTTAAAATATAAGAAAAAACTGAACGTAATTTAGTTCTTTTTAATCGCATTTAAATACAATCATGATAATGACATATTATTACATACCAAAAAATAATACATGTAATACCTTTAAGTAAGAAAGTGAAGTTTTCATACATTTCTTCAGAGTTTGCTCTAGGTGTTGCCAATTAAATTTATTAATCAGTCAATATTTAAGCGTACACATTTACATGTAGATGGCTATAAAATCTTTTGTGTATATTCATGTACATCACAATCTACAATGCAGGCAAAGGTACACATATGAGATTTACTGATTTGATCAATGCCAATGAAATAAATATTCAGAAACTCCATACATCGTATAATTGAAATTTTAAAATAGGGATAAAAGCCAGTCAACATTAAGCATTTGGTAAATTCTCGTTTAACATTCTTCATGGGATTTATGTATCCCTACATTATACTTGGGTCTTCAAAAGGGAACACAACCTTATAAATACAAAAATAATAAACACAAGTTAATTTTAAAAAATAATCACCGTCTCACAAAGTGCACTCAACGATGTCTTACAAAATACCCGGCCTCTTGTGCGACACGAAATGCAAGGGTCGAAACTGTCAATCAAGAGGTATAGATAGAACTTCAAAGCTTACTTTAGATTTCAAAACCGTCGCCAGTAAAGAAAATCAAGTAAACCATGAATATTCTATCGAAGTTAACACATTTTCTTAAAATCATGATGCAAAAATAAATAAAACAATTTGAAAGGCATAGATAAATATTTCTCCACGACTGGAAAAAATGTCTTAAGTTACATATACCCGCCATAAATGTGCAAAATACAATTGAGGTACGTAAATGTGCAATTTGGTATATGCGTTTTAACTTTAAACAAAAAACTTATGGAATGGGATTCAAAAATAAATTAAAATAAATTATTGACTTCACATTTTCCAAATAATATGTAAGTCAAATTTATACTGAAGTTTCACTAAAAGGGGAATGAGAAATAGGTGTGGCAAGATCCTCATTAAAAACAATGTCTTGTGTTAAGGAGGCCGGCCCACTTGCGGCCCGTTCGGCTGACTTTGAACGAAATTTTTTCTTCTTTTCCTTTTTCTTTCCTCTGCTTTTACGACCATCATCCTCTTCGTGTAATTCTTGAAGCTGAAAAATAATAAAAGGTGGTTGTTACCTATGTCATTCGAAACACAAAAACCTCGAATCTCAATAAACACAGAGACCGCCAAGCATTTTCATACATTATCAATGAACAGAGAAGAGTATTATGCAAAATTCGTTATTTATAAACTTTGAGCAGTTTTGGAACATAAATTTGAACTTGATATAAAATCGCCAAGTTTTAAAATCAAACCCCTCGTTACAGTGCTATGAAATATTCATTTTGGTTTCGAAAGTAAGAGGGCACATACTTTTGGTAAAAGTCTCCTGTTCATCATTGATATCGGGGGTGTGGGTGGTGGAATGAGTGACCCTGATTCTATAGACTGTGCTTCGTGCATGACTGGAGTAGAAATTGGTGATTCACGTAAGCTTTCATTCCTTGATGAATAAGACGAGCTTGCATAAGCATCGCTGTGACTTAGATATTTGGAGCTGCCGCTCTCATTCGTGGAGCGGCTTTTCCGACCTTCCGTAAGTGAAGATGTCCGTTTTATTGACGGCTTCAGTCTTCGTTTCACAGCAGCAAAGAGTTCAAAAGGCGACAACGACGAATGTGCCCCAGGTGATGCAGCTGAAACACCACCCTCTGCTTGCGTGTTGTGTTCAGCAGAAGTATCCATGCTAACAGACTTTTTAAACAGTTTTCGTTTCTTCTTTGGGTGAGTTACTTTTAAATGCATTTCTCCCTGCTCAGTTTTATGTAATTTCGTTTCACTATCACTTGAAGAGCATCCATGTTTGTTATTAATTTCCTTTGTATATTCCATGTCAGTAAAGTTTGCTGAATCATCAGAAATTATAACTCCATTGTTCGCTATGGACAAATTGTTTTCACTTATAGATTTCATATTTGAAGGTTGTCCATCATTGTCCTCAACCTGTTCAAAAAATTTCCGTCGAGCATTTTCCTTAGAAACCCGAGCACTTTTAGTTGGAATATTAAGTTCCGACTTGGACTTTGGATTAGAAAGGTCTAAACTATTTTGTATATGTACTGGTGAAGCACCAGCAGATACAGCGTACCTGTCAGACTTTTCATTCAACATATTCAAAGACAAACTATTCGGAACTTTTCTTGACGTCGCAATTGTCGTCACTGTTGTTGAAACACTTTTTGAGCTTTGTGAGCTTACAGAAACGATTTGGTGAGACTTTGGTAACAAGAAAGTCGGTGGAGGAACAGGAAACTTGGATGTGACTCCTTCTTCATGATGGACATCAATCATGATTCTTTGGTGGCGGTCATTTACGGTTCCCGGCTCTGGGTCAATGGGCATCTCAACATCAGAGTCATCTGTTCTCACGTCCATCAGGTCCCCGGGTCCGTTAGAGCATATGTTTCTGTTTAACTTATTACTGAAAACTTAATCCTCAATTTTACCAAAACCAAATCATGGTAAAAAATTTTGCAAATCTCATAAAAATTGAAGTTATTTGTGTTTACACACACGAAAGAGGACAAAACGAGTCATTTTTTTCACACTATAACACTATTTTTGGAATCTTTCAAAGTTTGTCTCATATTTTGTTGGTGAAACAGATAAGTTTATGACATAATTGCTTCGTCCTTGAAGTCCCTTAAGTCAATGGTCAATCACAAACATAATTTAAATGAACTGGAAATACTTCTAGAGAATGCAAAAGAGGAAAAATAATTTTAACGAAAAAATCAATTATCAAAAATCAATGATGAGAATTTTAACTAAAATAATTTGAATATGTGATTGCCTCGAGTGACATATTATATTATTTCTGGTGCCAACGTTGTATATACGTTGTAAGAAGAAATTTGGAATTGTAATTTAATTTGACGTAAGTCATTTAATCCTATATTTTTAAACAATTCATACCTTCGCAATCGTCTTCTTTCGTCGTCTGTTGATCCTCTTGAACTTGGTCTTGACAAATTATCTGCTGCAAAGTGGATTTCCTTTAAGGACTAAAATGAATACAATATTGTATATAAAATATAAATTTACATTTCAACAGATTCATATTACATACAAATGAAATGTCAAGCTAATCATGAATAGAAATTAGGTACAAGCTCAGGATCAGCGTTTCAAAAAAAAAAATTAAATATAGTTAAAATTGACACAAAACCAGATACAATGCAGGTCAACATTTAAAAATATTCTTAATTTGACAATAATAACCATTCATTTCAGTAAGAGTTACCCTTCTTTTCAGTGGACAAATGGAAAGCCATGTATCTTACAATAAAAAGAATTTTAAAAAATTAATGAAATTCATAGTAAATTAAGGCATAATTACCTCTTTCATATATTGCAGCACAACCTGTAATGGGAAAAATCGTGAAATTCGTTAAAATACAAATTAGCCAGCACTTGGATGAATGAACAAGAAATTTTCTGGGTTTATTATTTCCTGCACTATAAAAATACATTAAATTGTATGATTTGGAAAATAAGTTTTTACCTCGTTTACTTTTTGCTTCATATCCATATTAGCATGGATGGAAAGTCTTTTAGATTCTGACGATGGCTTGGCTAATTGTTCTAATCTGAAAATGACGTCACATTCCACATCTGGGTTTTCAGAATCAATGACTATTGAGGCAAGCTCCCGCAACCTTGTCAACTGTGAGTATGTAGAAAACAAAAATTGCTGAAAAAATCGTTTATTGTATACAAATATATGATATCATTTTGTAATCAAATTATCTAATTCACTGAACGTCTGGCATGCAAATCCAATTTAAACCATTTAGATAAATTAAAATTTTAAACAAGCAACGTCGATGTTCAAATCGTCACATTAGTTCTTACCTCAGATAAGATATCTTCGATTCTTCTTTGATCCCGCTTATGTGTTCTGCGAAATTCCGCCAGACGACGGACAAGATCAACCTTGTCCTTCATTGTTGAACTTTGGTCTTTCTCAGAACGATGGCACATTTCAATCAATTTCTTCTTCAAGTCTTCAATTTCTTTTTTACTTGATTCAATCTAAACAAAATGAATTTGAAAATGATTGAATATATCATAAATGGAAAATTTTTACAACGTCATTTTTATAATGGACATTACATAAGTTTTCTTTTCATAGTACATACTTGTTTTCCTAATACAAGTAAACCTTTTCCTTGCCTTGATTTCATAAATATTTCTATACCTTTACAAATTTAAAATTAAAACCTTCGAATACAGAGGGAAAACGGTCTAGTACAGCTATTATTTTAAAGTTTAATATATACCAACTAAATAAACAACAAACCTGAGTAAGTCTCCTTTCTCTTAATAACTGTTCCTCGTCCAACTCCTTCCTGAGTCTTTTCATTTGCTCCAGTAAAGCCTTGCGCTCTCTTGAATGCTCATTATCCCGACATTTCAGTTGCCTTTGTAGGTCCATCGCCAGTTCATGTGCTTCATTAAGAAGTCTCTTTTGCTCAGCTCTCTCAGATTCCCATGCAACTTCCATTCGGCTTTGCATGTCTTTCGTTCTGTACGTGGAATATGCTACAGTATCCAGTTTTTCTTCCAACTGACAAAATAGAATTTCAATATTATTAGTAGTGCCCCGGTTCCGATTTTCTTACACAATTTTGTACCTCTAGCAGTTTTGTGAACAAGGCAGATATTTTACTGTTTTAACAGTATGAAAATAAAAAGAGATCAATACGACATGTTTAATGGTGAAATATATATTTAAAGCAACAAAATTTTCAATTCCTACAATTTCTGTTCTTGTAATATTTGTACATCTTGTAATATTGGTAAATAATAATTTAATTCTTTGCTCATGGTATCATAGATACTAATAAGTCAGGTTATATGACATTCAGTCATATGCTTCATTTTTAAAAAGTAGGAAATTAATAAAGAAAATACACCTGGTTTATATGACTTTGCATCCCTGATCTCTCTACTTCCCATTTTGATCGTTCTGACGTCATACGATTGACAATTTCAGCCCGTTCATATTCCTGGTCAGCAAGCTGCTGCTTCAATTCCTCCACTTTACCCTCAAGTTCAATGGCCAACTTCCGGCTGGATTCTATCTGTGAACATATTGAAAAAATTATATAATTTCAACTTCACTTATTGTTTCCTAGTCAGCAATTTGAAAGAAGAATTAACATGGTAACAATGTGGTTTATAAGTTTATCAGTTTTTGTTTTTCTCAGGGGGAAATTATACCTCCTTTATGTGCTTTTCAAGTACATTTCTTTCTTCTTTCCAATGTTCCAGGTCTTTGGTATAGGTTTCCTTCATAGTTCCCATTCCTTTTTGTACACCTTTTATCATCTCTTGATTAAGCACTTTTTCACGTTGAAGTTTATCAAGAACGCCAAGAAGTTTCATGTGCTCTTTTTGAAGATTTTCTAATCTTGTTTCGTATCTGACTTTCATTGCCAGGTATTCTGCACGGAGAACTTTCTCATGGTATTGAATTTGATAAGCCACATCTTCCTAAAATCAGGAGAGTTGAATCGTTGTCATGATAATACAATGTATTTCAAGATAAAGCTAACCTATTTATTGTCAGTTGCATAAAAAATAGAATGATATATATCAAGTTGAAAACAAATCTTTCTCGTAAACCCAATCTTACCTGTGCCCTTAATCTTTGAAGTTCCTCTTTCATTTTATCATTTGACGTCATTTCAGCCGTTAATTGACGTATCTTCTGCGTAAGCTCATCCTGTAATTTTAGCTTCTCACTCTTCAGGGTCCTCATGTTAGCCTCGTTTTCAATTTTCGTAACTCTAAAGTCGGTCGAAATTTTTTCTTTACTTTCCAACAACTTATGGGTTTCTTTTCGTAGAAGACCCACAATTTGACTTTCTTTTTTTGCTGCGGTCTCTTCGTATATTCGCAGCTTTTCTCTAGCTACATTGTAAGCTATTTCAATTTGTGAGCGGTCCTTGTTCCACAAGACCATTGCTTCGCTTAAGGCTTGTTTGGTTTTTTCCAATTCCTCCTGTAAACTAAAGTTATCTGTGTGAAGTTTACCAAGATTGGATGCCATGGTTTCCAAATCATTTTTAAGCTGTTTGTTATCCTGCTCCCATTCCGCTTTAGTGACATTTTGAGTTTTAGAATTTCCCGAAAGTTCATCGATTTCGTTTTGCTTTAATTCAATTGTTTCATTAAGTTCTGAAATTTCTTCGGCTTGATAATTAATTTCATCCTGTTTTGACTCTATTATGTCTTTTAAAGATTTGATGATATCTTCCTTTTCTTTTAATTTTTCATCTATTGGCTGCAATTTCTCGCGCAAATCTCGTATCTCATTATTTCTGTGCGAGATTTGATCGAGAAGTGATTGCAAGTCTTCTTCTCTCTGTTTGATTATTTCCTCTTGCTCATTCATGATCTCTTCCTTCCTTTTTAAAATATCTGAATTAACTGTTATTTTCTCTTCAATTTCCCTCAATTGTTTTTGTTTATTTCCAACATCTTCCTTGAATCCCTTAAGCGACCCTCTTAGCGCCTCCGAATCCGCGGTTAACTCTCGAAGTCGTTGCTGGGACTCAATCTTTTCTTTTTCAATGGCGGTACATTTTGATCTCCATTGTGCTTCTACCTAGGCAAATATTCATGAAGCAATGATCTAAGTTAGATCAATAGATATAAGATGCACGCATTCCAAAAAGGCACTTATGGTAATTCTGCCTCTAATTAATGAGCTACATTTTGTTCATTACATAAGCTATATGATACAAGTACCACTTATGAAACTCTCTACTGTTGTCAATTTATATAATGATTATATATACAATGTTTCAATTATCTACTTTGCAGACTTGTCAATGAGTTTTATTAGTTTTTATAAACTACTTAATGTTTTATATGATCTTTATCTGTTCAAGGTTATTATATAATTATATACTCTTCTGACGAAATATGCATCCTTTATGCTAAAGTTAATACTTTCATATTCATTTAGCATATTAGGTATGTTTCGTATGTTAAGAGGTATGTGAATGTGCATATATTGAATGATCATCAATGGGGTGTTTATAAAAGTTACGATGGTTAAGCAAACATAAATGTAAATTTGCTTACTTCATTCAATTGCTTTTCCAAACTTGCAATTCTTTCTCTGTAACTAGACACATCTATTGGGTTTTGCGATTTAGACGCGTCCCTCTGTAATATACATACACAACTCATTATCAAATTACATGTATAACCTCTTTAATTCCAAGGCTTAATTATCTTACCAACAATAAAAAGAACTAATTCGGGAAAACTAATTGAAATGTTTGCATGAACATGACAAAATGGTTAGCAGAAGATAACATGCCTACCAGAAGACAAGAAATTAGATGCACTCTTGCATTACTCATTGATGAATATGGATGCTTTTGTTTATAATTCTTTTCAAAGGAAGAAATGTTTTAATGAGATTATATCACTTATGCTCAATTCATGAAAGACGTATTATAAACACATTAATGATTTCGTTTGGCAGTTATTCAAATTGTAAATACACCATAAGAATTACATAACGTATTTATTCACATGCCAACAGCTTGCATAAAAATTTCAGCCATCAATTAGTGCCTGAATAATTGTTTTTAGTCAAATAGGTTAACAAGTCATTCTATATCGTTATAAAATTCATTTTTGTACATTTTTTTATACAGAACTAGTGGTTGATAACTACGTACTGTCGTCACATCAAATGAAGGTCTCTCATCAATATGATAAGATGGTGTCTTTTCGTTTTCCGACTCCTCACTTTCGGCCTGTAATATATATTTGTGAATATATTGATAACTGCAAATGATATTTGATATGTGAACATATCCGTGGGCAGCCATGTTACTTTCATCTTATTTTGATATTGAGAGAATATACCTAAAAATAAATCTTTCATTTAATGAGATTTCAAAATATCTTGCTAAAATGAAGTTAAATCAACGTTGTTGCCAAAGTGTTTTTTTTTTTCAAAATCAAAGTTTACTATAAAAATAAAGATTGCTATATATCAGGAAGTCCAGATCTTAATTGCATTTTCTTGCATTAAAAAGTTAAATACATATTTAAACATTATTTCAAAGTTTGGGATGAAACATGTTGAGATAATGAACAGTATTAAAAAGCTCTAAGTCTTTTAAACATCTATTTCCTATACCCAAATAGAAATACTATTCACAAGTAAGAATTTATAGAAAATCAGTCAAATTTAAGTATCCAGTTAGTTGACAAGTACTAAATAGTGAAAGTAAATGTTAAAAAAGTTAAAAAATAAAACTGAAAGGAGAAAAAGAAATATACATTTTCAGCGGCACAGGTAGCCCGCAGACATCGATTTTCCTCTTCTAGTGTGAACATTCGTTCCCGTAAGCCCTTTATTTGATCTGTTGCTATCTTCAAAAGTTTCTTTCCTTCTAAAATCTGCAAAATATACCATATATTTACTCAACTGTAAGTTCCAACCGTAATGTATCAAAGATATTCAGAATCTTTACAATGCAGTTGGATTATCGTAAGGCCACACACATTCCAGACTTTCGCTTTCATCATTTTGTTCTATTTACGTTTCCCCTCCGTGATATTTGTATCAAAGTATTACGTTTCGTTTATTTTGATAGCAACTCATCCTTAATGAGAGAGAGAGAGAACGTGGACATGGGAGTGAAGAATGCTAAGCATAAGTTAAAAACATATTATCTTCCAATACTTTTTAAAAGTAACAGACATATATAGAATAGTTTTCTATACAACAAACACGACAACATTCAAAATTATTAAAACATCTTTTACATTTACTCGAAAATAAACTTTTTTCTAAAGATTCTTAAAATTTCATGTAAAATTACTATTTATGATAAAATAATTCTTAAAATTCAAAACTACCTCTGCTTGAAGGAGTTCCTTCTCCCTAGCGAAAAGCTTGGCGTCGTCCGACATGGCGGTAGAGATGCTCTCTGTTGACACGAGAGCTAATTTCTTCTCTGTTGCCGCTAGTTTTTGTCTCTCCTCCGCCAACAGACGTTCCAAGCAGTCAATCCTTTTACGAAACTGGTTCTAAAGAATCAAGAATGTTTTCTCCTGAGTTAATTCAAGCGTCAAGAAATAAAGACAAGCAAATAAATTCTCCAATTTCTGAACCTTGTAGAAAAAGTAAAATTTCCAATTAAATTGTGCAGTTCAACAAATGTTTTCTTTACTTGTTTATCTGGTAAGTTTGGAATTGTCTTACACAACTGTTTCTAAGTGTGAGTTGTTTCAAGGATTAGTCTTGATGTTTATTAAGTATTATTTTGAATCTTTGATATGGTTGATAGGCAGGCTAACCAAGGACCACAAAAACGAAAAAAGAAAAGGAGTAATGTAATTGAAACTTAATTGAAAAATGGGGAAATTTTTGTTTTGTAATTATTCTGTCACTAAATGTATTTATGTGTAGCACCCTCGATTATTTACAAATACGAGTACACTTTCTGAAATGTCGTGTCCTTATCATCGTAATTACCAATCACCCAATCTGGAGAAAACGATGAGCATAGATATTCTCTACAATACTTAATTAGCAGGTTTGGAGAAAACACAACACAGAACTTTCTAGACAAAAAAAAAATTTTTGATGACTGTGGATGTGTTCCGCTTAATTGAACATGGCATTATAATTAAAGCAGACAAAAAAATCCAGTCCGTATCATCCGCCAGATATTCAAGAAAAAAGTTCAAAGAACTGGAGTAAAAAAAAATTACATATCTATAAATATATTAACATGGACAGGAATTGCTGTTAGTTCACAAGAGCTGGAAAAATAAGGCAGAATTAAAATATCTGAAATTGCTTTTATTTTATGCCAAAGAAATTAAGCAATTCGATTCATATCATGTTGAAAAGAAGATGAGAAATAATTAGGGAAGCCATTTAATTGGAAGCATACTAAGGAACTTGAGAGAATCAGAGAGAAAGATTATGTTAGCTTTAATATCAAATTGGTAAAGGCAGCAATAATTTTAGAAGGTAACAAAAGATTAACCGAATGACCTGATGACCTTGCTCTGGGTGTAGCACTTGGTACGTTTGTATCAAGTCTATGTACAAGCATCATGTCACAGGGCAATGTAAATAATAATACTATTTCTTCTCTTTATGTATAGTTTAGGGCATCAGAATACAAGATAACAGAGGTATTAAATGTATATTAAATTTCAATAATGAAGACAAGATTGTTGTTAAATTGCAGCATACGCTACTGTGTTCCCAGGCTAAGACATGTTATGGTTGAAGGAGTGAAAAATGTCCCAAGTACCAAGTCAAAAAGATTGATTGATTTCTATTATTTTACGTCCCATTTGAGATTTTTGCATTCATGAAGAGAAGTCACCAAATACTGGCAAATGGCTTCAAATTTCGACTTTGCGCAATGGCCAAGTTAGAGATGGATCTATATCGTACCAACGTCTGCCGTGACACGTGATCTCGAGCTCTACAGAAGGACACGCAACTTTCACTTCAAATTGCTGAGCACATGGCGAAGGGAACAGTTGCTACTTATTTTTTTATCGACTTAGGTTAGTCATGGCTAAATTTCGATCGCACGACCCTCCGATCCGATCACGAAAGAGCCACTTAATCGACTGGGTTACCAGTTACCATGACGATCCTTTCAACAAGGAAGAAAAGCAACAAAACCAGAGAATTCACTCTGTTTTACTTTTTTTAAGAAGCGTTGGTTTTAATAATTGCAATGCCATAAGCACGATTTCTTTTCAAGATTTTCGATTTCTAGAGATGGTTCTTAATGTTAATACACGTATGACGAATCTGCTGCTTATGGTTGGACATTCGGTTAAATCTGTGCTCCTGAGAGTCATTTTGTCTTCAGGTCACTTAAACCCAAATCATATTTTGAGAACATTGTGCACATTTGGCAAATGCCAAATTTTAAGTCTTTTAGATCCATCATTACAAATCACAAACACCTGGGACTTTGGACGTGCAAGAGAGACAAGATGGAAGCTACTCAGTCAGTATTTCAGTCGTCATGTGAAATTGCCCACAGTGAAAATTATTTATACCAGTATTAGTGTATTTATTTTTTTAATCAATAAACGAATTCTGGAATTTTCGTTCACAAAAATAAAGATGCTTCAATTAGTTCCATATACTTTTCTACTTCGACCACACATGATAAGGACCACAAAATAAAATATGATAGACTCAAATTCTTATTTTCTTTTGTGAACTTTATACCAAGTAGTTTATCAATATTTTGTTTTTCTTCACACTGTGCCAATTTTTATGGTGCTCATAAAAGGTTAAAACCTATTTTATAAGTTCACATGGTATGATAATAGTATACGATATGTTGCATTAACCATATGACTTTATAACCTTGCTTGATAGTACAACTGGATAAATTTGATGTTTCTATATCTTTCATCTTGAAAATTAACGATGAAAGGGGGTTCATAGTCTTTGTCCCTATTTTTAAGATTTTTGTTATCTTTCATGCATTTTTTATGATAATAATTTGATAATTTCTAACTTAGATATACCGGTATGTATAAATAATAGAACCTACGTCCCAGTCCCTTTGGATGACCTGTCTTTTTAATGGTGATTCTGGACTGCCAGGAGTTATTGGAGACAAGCCGGGAGACACACCAGGTGATGCTCCATCAAAGACTTCGTCACTTCCGAGGCTGACGTCACTACAAGTGCTAATTACTCTTGCACTGCGTCCGCTTCCGTCACTGGCTACTGAGAATGAGGCTGCAACGCGCTCTAATTCACGTTCTGCTGTGTCAGCACGCTCTTTGACGATGTCCAGTAGATTACTCAAAATCTGAAATTTCGTGCAAGTCCAATGTTGTTACAATTAGCATGACTAAAAATACACTCCAATATTCGACATACATGTATTTCTATAATCAGTGTCAATGAACTCATCACGAATGATCCAATGTCTAAAATGGCAATTAAAATTAAGAAAAAATGCGGTTGATCAGCTGCATTTCTTCTACAAATCAACGTTTGCAGAATAGCTACACACTTTACTGCAGCTGTTTTAATATCGGAGTATTCCTATTGTTCGCTACTTTCAAACGGCTGCATTCGTGATTCTAAGAACATGAAGATACTTAAAGAAAGCAAGTCAATAGGAATATTTCTATTCTACAACAAGCAAACATTAAATGATAACAGGGGAAACGCAAGTTGACTTTGGCAAAGAATCAGAAGTACTCTAAAACTGCATTATTGCTTTCTTAAATTAGTGAACTCCCATTTGATGTTTGGTTTTCTTGGACTTTGTAGCTTATCATTAGCTTCAAAGTTCTTGAAAATATTCCAAAAATAATCCTACCAGAAAATTGTTCTTCTGTATCAGTAGATACCAGATAGTCTCACCATGATAACTCTGTTCACTGATTATATGTAAATATTTACAATCATACAAAGATCCCTTCTTTATAGGAATAGCTTAACGCCAGATTGTGTTGTATTTTCTTAAGATATAAAATGTATACGTTTCTCTACACCTGTAATTAGATTTAGCTACATAAACTTTTTGACCTTGCTATTTCTTTTTTCTTTTTTTTTTTTTTTGGTATCTTACTTTTTGGATACAGAGGGTGGTATACTTGCAAATTGACTTCAAGAAAATGATAAATATAATTTAAAAAGTTGTAGGAAAAACGTATTTTAGATAATGTAAAATATAGAGAAAAAAGAGTTTATTCTTTAGATATAATCTTTCATGTTTAGTCTCTTTTAAATACACTAGGAAAGGGGTGAAAATATAAAATACATACAGTAATACATCAGACAAACCATCATAAAGTATATATATGGAATTACTTTTAATGTTCTAACAATGTTTCATCCTCAATATTTCTAAATTGATTTTGGTTAAATTCATTTAAATATTCTCTTTTTAAAATTGTTTTGATAAAAAAAAATTACAAAATATTATAAACCATAATCATCTTTGAAATGCCGCACTAATACACGTACCTCATTCTTATCATGTGCAATGTCCAAATCGTTGAGAAGATCAAGTTCCTTTTTTCGATATTCGTCTTCAATTTTCTCTATTTGCTTTAAATATTCTTCTTCTTTCTTTAAAAGATTGGCAGTCTCTTGGTTTCTCTGACTCAGTTTCTTGGATAGGGCATCTAAAATACCGACATATGGTTCATATGAAATACCCCCTAATAGTTTTCGAAATATCTAAAATGCATACATGTAATTATATGTAAATATTCTTTAAAATGAAACATGGAAATTTTTATGACAGTGTTCAATTTCAAGGAACATTGAAACAACACAAATCGGGAATTTAAGAATAAACTGATTTAAGATTTATACATGTACGAAATAAAAATATTTTTGTATAAATCTCCATCAAGAAAATTCATTTTTAACTTTAGGTTGGGAAGCTGACATTGACCATTTGGGAACATGAACTTTTTTTCTTTGTCTGTTTCCGAAACTGATGGTACAAGAGACAATAATGATGTAAAAACTTAACATTGACGAACCTGGTACAATATACAGACTCAGTTTCATAATAGATATTTAATTTTAGACATAAAATGTTTTTATGAGCAAAACTTTTTCTCTCAAGATCCGAAAATATCTTTAATTTCAAATCGAAATCCTTACATCAAATAAAATGAATCAGAAAAAACAATTAGATTCCAAGTGACCACTGCAAACGTTCATACTGTATGCATGAAATAATTTGAAAATATATCAAATAGATTCTTTTTTCAAGTATATATTCTGTAATGTCTTAAAAGTTTATGAGACAGAAAGATACACATTGATTAAAGGAATACTATTGATAAAAAAGTTGATCTCATTTTACATTCATAGGGATAAGTAAGCTGACAAACACTTTTGTTTCAAGCATTTTATAATTGAAGAAAAAAAAAATAAGGATACTCTGTTCATCATGGTACTTGATTCGACCTCTTAAGTTTAAGAGGTCCGTGTTTGCTCTGTTTCTGATCTACAAGTACTGCTTGCATGGACTTTTGACCTTTAACACTACTGTTCGTCATCTGCATATTTCATTGAATTCATAAAAAAATTCAAAGACGTGCGTCTTGCAAGAAAATACTAAAATATATATATATGCGCACTCAAGCAACTACGTTGCAAATATTGTTGTCAAAAACAATCATATATGATGATTTGCAACCTAACAGCGGAAACATTTCTATCTCTGACTTCATGAGTTCTGAATCCGATGTATGCATATTATGTCTTATTTCAAGGTTAATGTCTCCATTGTTTTAGTCACAGCTGTCTATTTGTGTTTCCCCTCCATCCATTCCTGGAACTAATTGACTTTGCGGTTTTATTGCATTAACCTTGTCTGCCCTAGGCTGTATAAAATCAAAAGTTTCAAGAAACTAAAACTTTAGGAGGTTGTATAATATCATTACATTCGATGCAATTGCAGTATTTAGCTCTCGTCTTGCAGTCAAATATAAAATATTGTATGATGCAGTTTTAACATGATTAAGAAATCTCATTAAAACAAATTCAAATAAGTTTAATTTCAAAAATATACTTTAAACCATAATTAGTATAATGAAGCTTATGCAAAGTTTAACAAAATTTAAAAATTCTTCATTTGAAGACATTAAGATAAGTATAATGCTGAAAATAAATCGAACACAAAGTCTCATTAAAACTTTACCGTTCACAGAAATAAATAAATCCTGCCATCACCCTTCAAGCTGAGTATACAGTTCTTGTTCAATGCAATACAATAGACAACCTGATACTTGTATGAATAGTACCTTCACAGTTATCATAAGCATGATTGTTGAACCCTAACTTCCTCCCGACTTATCCGCGGCTTGATCAAGAATAAACACTTTCTGCCAAAGTAACAGTAAGTAGAGGAATTCGCTAAAGAGACATGGCAAGCCAGCATCTCGGCCAGAACCGTGTATTTTTCTAACCTTAATTACTTCACGATCAGGTTTGCGTCTTAAGAAAAGCACGCGGTAGAATGAAATTAACATGCATGTAGATTGCAATATCTAATATTATGCTAAGGTGATTTTGTAATATATCATGTTTCTTTAATACATATTGCTTCTATTTGATTGTCGATGAGATATTTTGACTCCTAATTATCAACAGATGTTAGTGTGATTGGCTTTTAAGATATTTATTATTACAAGCATTGTTTATACAATAGGTATTCAAAGCATATATCTCTACAAATAAATATCATATTAAATATAATTCTCAATAGTTAAAGCGTGTGTGGTATGATGTATATCATGTTAACAAAATTAAAGCTATAATTTAATGATGCAATATTTAGTGATTGGGTTTATTTAAAAAAATGATTGACAACTTTATGTATATATGAATAATTCGACATTTTCATACGACATTTAATATTTTTTTTTTAAATGTAGTATTTGTGCAAAATTATTATTTTATATGAGTAGTCTAGCTTCACAATTTTACAAGGCATCTATACTCTAATTCTTTATTTTTCATTTTATACATACATGTTAATAAATATAATGTACAGTTATACAAGCATTGTCACAGTTTTCGCAGTTTGTCATCTTAAAGACCATTAAAGATATTTAAGTCTTTTAATGTTAGAGATCAGCTTAGATACGTGTACTACAGGTTTTGTCCTCTCCTCTCTCTCTCCCTCATTTATATTTCCCTCTAATATTTTAAATCTACACAAGCGCAAAGAGTTGTTAATCGGATTTTGATGCTGTATTCATCGTAAGTCCATGTACAAATGGAAAATATGAGAGCAGCAAACACACATAACAAACAGTGACTTTGACAGTTGGGACCACCTGCACAACATTTTGCAGTTTTTTGCCTATCATATGATGCTGTTTATACTAATGGAAAATGGTTTTTTCACCCCAGGAAAGGAAAAAAAAGACATGAAAAAGGTGAAGATGAAGAACAGTGATCAATCTAAAAAATTACGAACGATACACATATAAACATGGCGTAAACCACTGACTCAGAAAATTCCAGAAAAAGAATCAGGTGTCTAGGAGAAGAAAGCGCCCCCTGTCGACAGTCATACAAAACAAGTAGCTGTTAGTTGGCCCTTATCATCTTTAGCCAAGTGCCATACTCTGTGATCTTTTATTTCGATTTCACTGGGATTCAGCATTGGCGTGAAGTAACTATTATTGTACAAACGGCACCAATATATCATAATGTCGATAAAAGGTCATTGTGAAAGTTTTTTCTCTCCTTATGTTGAAGCTTTAGAGAAAAGAAGAAGGTAAGGTTTCCATACAAATTTTGCCCTGTGATTTTCTAAAAAATGAAACTGGTGTAAAAGTTGAAAACTCATGCGAAGAAAGCGCCCCCTGTCGACAGTCATACAAAACAAGTGATTGTTAGTTGGTCTTTATCATCTTTAGCCAAGTGCCATACTCTGTGATCTTTTATTTCGATTTCACTGGGATTCAGCATTGGCGTGAAGTAACTATCATTGTACAAACGGCGCCAATATATCATAATGTCGATGAAAGGTCATAGTGAAAGTTTTTTCTCTCCTTATGTTGAAGTTTTAGAGAAAAGAAGAAGGTAAGGTTTCCATACAAATTTTGCCCTGTGATTTTCTAAAAAATGAAACTGGTGTAAAAGTTGAAAACTCATGCTTTTTAAATAATTGAAATTCAATGCAGAAAAATCATACAAGTCATTTTTCTCACATGTGTTTTTAAATGCTAATTATGACGTCATAAACATGTGCATTTTCCCGTATTTTCTTAAAAAGTTGCAGAAGACACCAATTTTCAATGGAATTTTCTTTCAGATGGCATTGTCCACAGGCATCGCCCACAAAGATCTTGAGATATGTGATTTGTTATTAAATTTTGCACAAAATATCAAAAAATTAACGTGGACGACGGCTATGGACACTGTTTCCTAATGGAAAATCACCCTTGAAATGTGCCATTTTGATTGATAATAAAAATGATGTATTTTTGTTGATGTCAAATTCATGATTTATCAAATTAAAAAAACTTAAGCCAGTTTCAAAACTTTTTGATGTCATTACATTTTTAGGGCGCAATAAATCTAACACCATACCTTCCTCTTTCTGCTTCAAAATAATGGTTTTTTAAAGTCTGCTTATAAAACTGCAAAAATTAGTGCCTATCGCTATGACGTCGCGCATAGTATTGAGGTTTTAAATTGCGTAAAAACAACAGTTAACAAGTATTTTTGGTCATTTTATCTTTTTGATGGATTTCTTTTTTTTTCAACCTATAATGCTGTGAAATCACACAAAATTCATTGATAAAAATATACCAGTTCTGTTTTTAATTTATATGCTGGATATTTATAACAGGAAAAGATGGAATATTTTGTTAAGATGTTTTACTATATAACATGTTCTTTTCGTAAAACTAAATGTTTTTTTAAAAAATGAAAACTCTTTTTAACAATCTTAGTACCTCTTTTTTGTATTTTTTCTCCTTTTTATTAATGAAATTGAATGAATAGAAAGTTTTCAAAAAATCTTAATCCAGCGGTTTACCATTGTGGTTTGGAATAAATATTTCTTTTCCATTAAGTGCAAAAACATCTAGCATAGAACATTTTTTCTTGAAACCGTATCCATATTTCTTGTTTACCGCAAAACATAAATACCCCATAATTATTGATAAATATCAATTATCTAGGTAATAAACCTTAGAGCGATGGAATACCTGACCGGTCACGGTTCTAATATTTATAAACTACATGGATGCTAGGGGAGAGATCTGCCGCAAACTTATACGATGTGTAGATATCATGATAATGGACATATCTTAAAACAAAGGTGAAAGATCTTTAATCTTAAATTGGGGCTTATTAAATCATTAAAACGGTACTTGATATGTTATTCCTGTGGTTTTTATGAGTGCTATCTGAAAACAGGTGGTGTAAATCCAAAGTGGACATCACCCAGCATCACAAAATACTAGAATGATAAACAATATTGATTATATACAAGTTTTATGATCTTGATCTCATGAACAAATGAAAGATTTCATTAGACAATACATGTTAAAAATTTATTATTCATATGTCCCGTGTCATAATCTTCAAAACTGAAAGCATATGGAAATATTTTTTTTCCTCCAAGGATTTGGTCTATAGTAAC